GAATAAGATTTTTAGTTGGTATTCTCTGCCTTAGTTTAAAGGAATTTCACACTAGAGAAAAATAAAGATCTTTTCCTTCTTGAAAGATAATAATCACTTGCTAACATTAAAGGGTATTAGTAAATTGCCTGAGGAGCAGGCTTGCAAACCAAAAAGTGTTCAGTCTCCCAGAGTTTCCAGTGATATGCGAAAAACTGTTGTGGAAAACTGTAGCAGTCTTCTGTTAGAAACGTTACGAGACAGAGACTGAATTTCTCTTCCACTGTATTTAGCACAAGAGAGGCCCAATCCTGGTGGAAGGCCTCTGAGCTGCACTAGAATTTTAATGACCTTAAGAGGTACAATACGATTGGTACAATTTAAAATAAGCCACCAATAATATATAATATAAATATAACGTTTACATTATCGGTGTCATACAATTTCACTATCTTGTGGAGAATGCTACAATGCAAACACCACAGACCGGGATTACAAAGACTGGAGATGCATATTATTCTTGTGAAGGACTGTAAGCTTTGAGAAGAATCAAGAAAACTAATTAAGCAACCATGAGAGAAAACGAGAACAATCTCATATTAAATTCTCTACCATCTTTTGCAAACTGTAGTCATGCTTTTATTCATCTCATTTCACCCATAGAGGACTACACAAACCACAGACTGCATGGCCTCTTGCTCTCTCTTTTTTTGACTGTGAATACATCTATGTTTAGGAAAACAAGTACATAAAGATCTTTTCACAGCTCGCCTGAACAGATTTCCTGCAAAGGGAGCAATGCCAGACGATGCAAAAATAAAGTGGCCTCTTTCTGTACAGCATGTAATTGCCCCTGTTTCAAGCATCAATACTGGCCAAATTACTGCATACTTTCCCCAGTTATTTCTTATTTAAAGTACACAGCAAGACTGCAGTACCCCAATTTAAATGCGTTACAGCAGCATGATTCCTACCTTGACGAAGGTTTCTTCAGTCACACACAGTGGGACATTATAGTAATGCAGCACACAAGACGGGGGCTGAATTATGTTCTTGGATGCTTGGCCCGCACTGGTGAAGCGATTATTCTTACTCATGGCAAAATCCTTGTAACTACTTGTACCATCCTCCAACTCAAATATTTGACTGGGAACTACCGAGTGCTGCTTGGACACACTGGGATTTAAAGATACAAAGTTAAGAAAGACTGCATTCTAAATGAAACATTTAACTGTACATTTTGCACACAAACTACATAGACAAGAACAAAAGAAATGGTATTCACTTCTGAAAAGAGGAGTTAAGTTGATTTGGACCTTGGTTTCCATGTTTAACTGTGGAAGAAAGACAGCTAAATATGTTAATGGATATATTTTCATTAGCTAAGTTTCTGCATATTATTGTTCTCAGATTTCTGCTGTTAAAAAAACAAACTATATTTGCATGTACAGCTGATCAGCATAATATTCTTACATTTAACATTCAACCACTTTTACTGATGTCATATTCTGCAGTTTTGTTAGCTAGTATTTAAAACAGTGGTGCTCAACCAATCTAGCCTCCTAGGCTAAGTGAGTGGCACAGGACCAGTCCATGGGCTGGGTCCAGTGCATGGGTTTGGCACGTGGGGTCAGTTTACAGGTGCAGCCCTGCATGCCAGACCCCACGTGTAGGGCTACATCATCCAGCCTGCAGAACTCCATATGGGTTCAGAAATTTGGCAGCAGGGGTGTGGTGGCAATGTTAATAGCCACAGCTCTCCAAGTGAGCTGGAGGTTAAGCATCACTGTGCTAAAGAATCTGAAAAGTCTTTATAAAGTTGTTAAACAGCTGAATCATGTGCAGTTAAATTACATCCACCTGAACCTTTAACGTGATAAATAGTATATTTACCAGACATTAAGCCTCTTGCCAAATAACTTGACGTTATTAAGATGTGTGACAGCTCTTTCTACAGCATATTCATCACCCATTTCTACCAATGCTGTACCAGGAATAGTCTTCATAAATTTCACCTGAAAGAGTTCAGGAGTAAATGACAATGCAGCTCAAAGGATACCATTACTGTAAGAATTCTGCAAATTATAAGAAAAATATACTCTTTGCCCACTTCAACCACTATCAGTATCAATAACTACTTAGAAAATAAGCTGTTTGCACCCACTACGTTTTAAATTAGACAGACTAAATTTAAGCACAGACTTGGAGGGACATGGGGAAAAAAGGGTGGAGTTCCCCTGGTAAGGCGAGGGAATATAGGAAGAAAAATGTTTTCTCTTATGGAGAGAACAAACAGAGGTTGGGAAATAAGGCTGTGTTGGTGGGACAGGCAGGCACACAATCTCCTAGGTGAGAAGCAAGGGAGCAGCTAGGGTGGATTCCTTTTGAAATTTTGGGAGGGAGTCTGTTTTACTTACTTGATTTTATTCTGCTTTTGTAAGTTATTTTGTCTTTACTGAAAGCTGCTCTGAGCCTCTCTCAGGAAGGGCAGCACATGCATCTCATACATAAATGAAGCTGCTAATAACACATGCCTTACCTTTTCAATATTTCCATACAAACAGAACAGGTTGAAGACCCTTGAACAGTTCATCTTTAACTGATGCAGCCCACTGACCATGACAACAGAGCCAGAAGGATTGCCACCATGCATATAAGAGGAAGAAGCCTGAGGCAGTGGGTAAGCAACAAGCTCTGGTGTATCTCGAGATCCCATTCTGTACCGGCTGGGTAAAGGTAACAATGGACCATGTGATCCTACAGAAATTACAAGACATTGTTAACTGTAACTCTCATCAATTTACAATGGATTGATGCTCAGATACACATTGCTTGATCTAGAGAGGAATTTTAGTTTTCTAAGTAAAATATCATTTGATCTTTTCCCCAATTCAAACCAAGCCTTCTAATTTTATTTTACAGTTTTTCTGCTCCCTGGTTGAGCTTTTAGTAGTGTATAGAGGCAGCTGCATAGTAGCTCAAAATAAAGTCTTACTCTTTGGGCAGGGGGGGCGGGGAAAGAGAATGTGGAGTGAGTGGGTGTGTTGGAGGGGTGAATTTGCAAGGGGGGGGGGGATGAGGAGGGGTGTTGTAGGCCTGACTGCATGCTAGGTCCAGAGAGCCAGCTGGGGGTAGGGACCGAAGGTGTGTGCAGCAGAGCTCACCCAGATGGTGCGGGTGTGGTGTTGTGTGTCCTCCACTCCCTCCCAGAAATCTGGCCCATGACTGCCCCTGCAGTACTCTGCATGGGTCCAAGCCCCACCCATTTCCACCTGGGGCAGCCTGCACCATGTTCCTGCCTACATGGCCCCAGCCAGGACGCACAGCTTCCCAGCAGAGCTGCAAGCTGGGTACTGCTCAGCTCCCCATGGTCTTTCATGGCTCCTCCTCCTCCCCCTGCTGCACCACTCCAGTAGGGGTGCGTACTGGGCACCACACACCCAGCCAAGTGAGAGGGAAGCTGCAGCCAGGCAACCCCTACACCAGCACACAGGGCTCTAGGTCCCTTCCACCCACCCACCATGATGTGCAGCCATCTGTGGGTGAAAGGCAGCCCCACTGGGAAGCTGCATCTGCTGGCCAGGGCTGGGGCAGTGCCATCAGCAGGCATGGGCAGGTGCAGGTGGGAACATGGCGCAAGCTGTCCCGGGGAGGGCTCAGCCCCATGCAGAGCGCCATGGGGCAGATACAATCAATTGGTGGGCCAGATCTTTGTTTTGCCCACCCCTGCCATAACGGAAAAAATAAAGTCAAACTCTAGAAGAGAGTCTAATAGTCCAGAGGTAGTGCAGTTTTGTTTGAGGGCCTGTAGGAGACTGGTAAAGGAGGGCAGCTTTCTATGAGCTAACTCAAGAATACATGTGTTCAAGGGTCAGCATTAATACACAGCTCCAGGTGACCTCATTTTCCACTGCCAGTTAAAGTGACATTTATCAGGAAGCAAAGTGACAGCTGTCACAAGGGTTAAACTTCATAAGTCACAGTTTAGTTGCTCAGCAAGTGCTGAACCAAATAAAGCTTTCACAAGAATTGTTAAAAACACTTCGGTCACTAGTCATTCATTTATCTAGCTAGAGCTTTAAAACAAACAAAAACAAAAAACAAAAAAACCCCCAGTATTTCCCAAAGTACTATGGGGAGGATCCTCCATTCTCATGAGGCCAAGAATAATGTTGATCAGTGGTGCTTGACATTCTGAACCCAAGGCCCAGATATGCGATATGGGGGTCGGTCCACAGGTGCAACCAGGTGTGCCAGCACAAACCCAGTATAGGACTGCCTGTAGCTACTTGGGACTGCTGCCTGGCAATAGGCAAACAGGGTAAAGCTCCAGACAGGTAGGAAGGACTGAAGCTTAGCTAAGTCAAACGTAGCAGAGGAGAACAGACTGCTCATTGAGTGGATGGATGGGCCATATCTCAGGCTGATCAGGAACACCTGACCAGAAGGGGTAGAGCCCCAGGAGATAAGCTGAGTTCCTAAATCAGAGTGGGCAGGAGAGAAGCCCCTGGTGAGTAATGCTATCAGAAACAGACCCAGAGGCATCCAATGCACCAGAGAGCTGGAAGCAGACAGATAAGAGGGGAGTATGAATTGTTGAGAGACAGTGCCCAAGAGAAGAGTGTAGGTTTCAGTTTGAAGCAGTTTGCTTATGTTTCTGTATCCATTCTGACTGAAAGTTTGGGTGTGGTGGAGGCCACAGGTGGGGTGCCTGTGTGGCACCCTACAGTACAGGAGGTTAAGGTCAAGAGAGAGTCCTGCAAGGGTCAAGGATGGGGTAGGCTGCACAGAGCTGCCTAGGGCTAAAGCTGAGTAGCTAGAGCTTGCAGACAGTAACTCTGCAAGAGTTATGGACTCATGGGGCTGAACTGAGTACAAGGCTAGGGGCTCAGAGCACAAGAGGACAGGGTCAGAGGGCCCAGTGTAAAAGGAGGCAAGGCCAAGGAGACCCCATGAAAGAAATTCAAGTTACAACTCTGTGAGGCATGGACATGGCTATGGATGTGGCTGGAGGCCAAAACTGTTGCCCCTAAAATAAACTTGTGCTCTAAGTGGTTCTCAACCTTTTTTGTGCCAGGACCCACTTGTAAATATCAATGTCCAGTCCCAACCCTATGCCCCTCACTCCTGACCTGCTGCTCCCTGGGCCCAGCCCCCAAATGTGGGGGCAGGGGATGGGTGTGTGGGGCATGGAGGGCTCCAAGTAGCACCTAGCAGACTGGAACTCTTGCACCCTGCAAGGGAAAAGCCATGGTTTCCCATATTTTTCTCCTTTAAAGAGCCATTTTTAAAGTTTGTTCATGACCCTTTTGTATGTTCTTATGACCAACTTTTGGTTCATGACTCACGGGTTGAGAAACACTGCCCTAAGGCATGTGTAGGACTAGGAAGGCCATAATTTAGTGCCTGAAGGCAAGAGTGGTGTCAGCATAGATTCATAGATGTAGGGTCATAAGGGACCTAAGTAGATCATCAAGTCCGACCCCCTGCGCTGGGCAGGAGAGAATACTGGGCTTATATAACCACAGCTAGGTAACTGTCAAGCCTCCTCTTAAAGACCCCCAGGGTAGGAGCCAGCACCACTTCCTTTGGAAGTTGGTTCCAGATCCTATTCACCCTGGCTGTGAAACAGGATCAAGGAGTACTAGGGATCTGGTTAAAGAGCAAGCTGAGGTAAACTGAAGCTCACTCTAGGGCCCTGAGGCGGCCTACAATAATATCCTTCAAGGCATGGCAGGTGAGGCAGAAAAAGGACAGGAGAAGCCAGAATGGGGCAGGAGATGTTTTGCCAGCAGGGGAGGGTCACAGCCGCTCTCAGAAACAGTCCTGTTGCAGGCTCATCAAGAAAAGGAGGAAGAAAAAGGAGACGACCTAGTGCTACCCATGAAAAACAGCTTCCATTGAAAGAGGGAAAAAGAAACTCAACTGAAGTTTGATGAGATGTTAGAGGAAAAAAAGGGACATGTGGTTAAGAGCAAACTGAAATATTTTGAATTCTCAAGGCCTGAAGGCCTCCAAGAGAAAATAAACCCTCTGGGAGACCTGAAGAATGGTGGTGTGATACCCAAAAGCTTGTCTAAGTCTACCCCAACCATGCACTGGTCCACTAAAAGATAAATCACCCACAAGAACTTTTGCCTCTGGCAGAAAATAAAATTATACAATGTTCATCAACTTTCTACTTATACTTGATCTGGCAAAAGAAGCAGTAACCAACAAAGATTGGTTTCTAAAGGTCAAAATGACTAATGCATATATGCAAATTAAGCTTTTATAGAAGAAATACAGGAAGCCACATTAAGATCTCAGCCCCTAAACCTCTCTGCATTTCGTAAAGACTGTACACCTCAAATTACAGAAGAGTATTTGCACAAACAGACTAAGGGCATTGCAATAATTCCAAAGTGTCTGCCTACACAGTAACATATTGCCAAACTCAGACACATTAGGAAGAAGAGCACCAGGGATATTACAAGGGAAAAGTGAAATAACTAGCTGCGTTAAATACAGAAGTTCAATAGTTTTCTGAAACCAATCGGTGTAACAAATACTCTACATATTGCCAAGTTTTTTTTCATGCTGAGCTGCATTGTTTAGAAGAAAGAAATCTTTCTGGTACATGTCCTCTAGTCACTGCCTAGCGTGATGACAGCTTACAGATGATACCATCTAAAGCAGTAATTGAACCAGTGGGATAAGACGGTATAATTTAAAGAAAAATGTTATTAGTGTTATAGACCCCAATAGGTTTCATAACATCATGAACATCTTTAACTCATGGACTGACAGTAGCAACTGTAGCACTACACTAAACTACAGAAACTCTACAGAAGTCTATCTACTATTATGTGTTCACTATGCTTTTCTATGCAACCTAGAAAAATTTGTAATTCCACCATATAAAAAAAAAGTGAAAAGTCACAGACTACTTGTCATTCTGTTACTTACCATAGCCATCATGTCTAAACGATGAAGGGTGTTCTCCCAAAATAGCTTGCCTCTGGCGGCCCTTCCCTCTGTCTAAGATATGGGGGTGGAAAAAAGTAGTTTTACCAAGTGCACACCTGAATTCTCAAATCAGGATATTTATAATTTCATCTAAGAAGTGAAAATATAACTTGATATCTGGTTAACTTTAAGAAAATCAGTTTTTAAGGCCAGATGTAAATCATAGAATGAAGTTAAGAGGCTGCCATTTGTATAACAAAATTCACTTAAAGTTGAGATTTTTGGCAAAAGAGAATGTGCAGACAATTTAAATCTATAGGAATACTTGATAATGTTCTGCAGTTGACGTCACATAATATTACAGATAGCACCAGAGAGTAGGATTTACCTATGCATGTCTTAAAACAAGTTTTAAAAGCAGTACTTGTGAAAGACAGTACCTGAATCATACTATTAGCTTCAACAGCAACACATTTTCAAAGTGGGCTTCTTTCAAGAAGTTTCAGCATAAGCCAACAACAACCTGTATTACATGGTTTCACAATCAGTAAACAGAGAGCATTACATTTGTGTACATATATTTACATGAACACCTATTGATTTCTGGGAATGCTGAAAGGACTGTACATTACTGCATTATTCATGATGCACAACGTTATTTTCAATTACAATGCAATGTTACTGAATAAAATCTTCAATAACGGACAATCCTTTGAGAAAACCCTGTTTTAGATCATGTAAAGTTAACCAAGGGATCAACAGGACTGGATGAAAGCAGCGCACTGTTTCCAAAAGGTAGAGTTCTACTTAATTTTCTTAGCAATTCCCAGAAAAAAATATGAATTTCCAACTTTTCTTGGTAAGTGAGAGTAGAACATTTCTCACCCATTTTGGTTAATAAATTAGTCCTTGATGCACCACATTCTAAAAGTGTGATGAAATATTGATCAGTTTGTTATAATTAGTACAAATATTTAAGCATGACTGATCTCTACCCCAATGCCTGAGAAGTTTTTCCCAAGCAGTTTGAACTCCTGAGCTTAACCCTCTGTGACAGTACTCAGTGGGACATGGGAAATGGATGCATCTTTCTGCCAAGAATGTTGAGGATAGCTTTGAGGCTAGATGATTATGCTGCAAATAAAAGCCTAAGGCAGACAGCAGCGTTCCTAGAACACTTGGCTACAGAGAGACAAGACTACTTTTCTTACTTCATATGAAGTAAAATTGCCCAAATTATGTTAGTTCTGCCTCTTGGGGATTTTACTTTAAAAACAGTTTTGAAGAAAATCCAGGATGGGGAGTGACAAAAACACCCCCCCCCCCCCCCCCCCCACAACAATACCCCTACCATTCACTAGCAGTCCAAAGCTCCCTCACTGCTCATTTTAACTATTTATTACATGGTATAAAGTATACAGGTAAGAAATTAAGTCACTTCCATAGTTCTTTCAGAAAAACGAGTTTAAAATTCTAGCCTGTGGATCTATTTTCTTGACCCTGTGCAGATGGAGTGGCCAGCTGTTAGACAGCTCTAAGAAATATCTTGAGAACCTTGTCTCAAAGCAAATGGCACATCAAAGGGTACAGTCCTTTGGTAACCAGAGGAAGCCAACATATTTCCACAACCAAATGAAAAAAAAAACAAAACAGTTTACATGCTACCTATAAATACATTTCCCTCATATCTGCACACGTTCCTTAGAAAGCCTGCACAGGTCGAGGAATGCTTTTGGGAGAGGAGAGACGGTGAGAACGTGCATGTGCACACAGTTTATAACTATGGAGAGGCCTGAAAATATTTAAGCTCCTGAGAATTAACTGAAAAAATGCATTTCTTTTGTACTCCATGAAGGATGCATGGTAAGCATGCTTATATAAAACATGAAAAGCAAGTACTTGGATCAGAGCTCAGTTTTATTTGTGCACAGTACTTGCTTTGTGTATGCTTCACTGGATAAAAACTATTTCTGGGAAGCATAACTCAACTATTTATTGTTTTTTGATCAAAGATAGTGTGCGGCACAGGCATAACACTACCATTACAAGGCTAGCTGAAAAGTATACATCTGGTATGAAGTGATGTAATATCACAAAAATAAGAGAAATAGATTCCAGCAACTCAGCTCAAAGAAAAACAAGCGAACAGCAGATCAGTGAATTTTGGGATAAAATAAAGCAACCTCAACATGTGAAAAGTTTCCCTAGTAGAGTGAGAAATGAGAAACGTGTAGTCCCTGAACCTCTATTTTTTGTAAGCCAAATCACTTCACATGAAAGTTTTCATATTTCCTTAAGTAAGTAAAATTTGTAATGGTTAAGAAACCAATGCTGCGATTAGTCTTTTTGGTCCTCCCCATGCCCCTTTCAGTTTCTATGCTTTTAAGTTACTGACAACTTCAATTTTATTTGCATTAAGCAGCCAGGAAATTGAGTTAATTTCTGAATTTTGGTTCAAATAGTGAGATTCTACCAGCTGCCAACCAGTACTGTAGCTCCCTTGTTAACCTTTTACAAGAACTTAATTCTGAAAATCCAAAACCTGCATTTTTCAATTATACAACAATTTTACAAACTCAGAATTTCTGAAGTTAACTTTGAAGCATATTTCAGAAAGAAGTCAAAACCCTCACCTTTGTATAAGACTCTGAAGATACTCTACCTTAAATTGGACTCTAACTCCATGTTATACATATCTAATTTCTAAAATTACATTATATAGAAAAAATATTAACACAAGTCACTGAACAGTTACAAAAAAAATTGAAACACTTTACAGAAGTCAGGCTACATAGCAGTTTCTCTTTTACATTTTAGGCATAATTTTCACTTGTAAGACTTATGCTCTGACTTATTTTCACATGCAAGAATCCAAGAGACAAGTTACATGTGCACCAAGCGTGCAACTCCCTATTCCAAATATTTAAATATAGCTGAGGGGTCTTATTTGATAGCATATTGATCAATCCCAATTTTCTATACATGTTATTCCTCTAATTTACTTACTTGAGACAATATTTACACTGTAGAGACTGAATGTGCTGTTCTTTTAAATACAACAAGTCATAAGAAGATTACAACATTGTAGATGAGATCAACAGGAGTTGGGATTTTTCCATTTTATGGAGGTTCTTAATTTCTGCAGTTGTAATTCTAGGGTTAAGATCAGTATACATACACACTTGAACAGAAATGGGTACAGTCTATCATGGTATTTATTCATCCCATGCAAATCTGAAGTACTGTAAGTGTCCTCCTTTAAAAACTGGTGGTGGTGATGCATGCAGTATGCAGACAAAGTGAGTTGCAAGTCTGAGATTTTCAGAGGGCTTTTGCTGATGCCGATGTGGTGCATGATGAAGTGTAGAGTCAGCCTGCTGAAGTCCTCTATCCTTCTTAATGCCTTGTCCAACATAAGGGAAAAAGTCCTTTCCAAAGAGAAGCAGTGTGCAAGTTTGTAGTTTGTAAGGAATAGTCTGTATCAGTTTCCTCCCCTCCAAAGAGAGAGAGCTGCTTGGAGAAATGCAAGTCCTTGAACTGCAAACGTGCTTGCATGTGTGGGCTCCTTGTTGAACTAAATAGCTCAGATATACACCAGTAGGGGGCACTAATGTTCAGTGTTATTTCCTGGATTACAGGTTGGCCTCTGCAACACAGCCTTCACCAGCAATGGCTTGTTTGAAAGGACTATTGCATTAAACAACCTAACCATGTATACAGTACAGTATTTAACGCAGTTAACCACTTACAGCTATAATATATGAAAACCTACCTCTTCTGCCAAGATACGGTTTAGTGTAGTCCCAACTATCATTGTCGTTTCTAATGACATTAAGTCGAGTTGGCTGTTTAAACAAAGTAAAATTAAAACAAACACAAGGTAAGTCTGGAGCTTATGCATTTTGGTAGTAAAGTTATTACTAGAGAAGATCTGAGCATTACCCTTGCATATTCGATTTTTAAAGTACAGCATCCTGCATATATGTCTGCTCCATTGAGTGCTGCCTTAGCCTTCTGGGCACAGAGAACAGATTCAAATGTGTATTGTGTTAAGGAGTTTTAAAAAAATGTTTAAAGTAAAGATTCCTCCCTCTCAAAATAGAGACAATTTAAGATGTTTTAGAATAACCTACACATACTTTGCCAGGAATGAGGCATCTAAAAAGGTCGACCTGTTTAGTACTCAAGAAAAGCTTTGGCTGTCCACATTCTCAACATCAGCCTAAGCCACATCTTGTCTACTTTTGAAGTGCAACAAGTTTAGGATGAGATTTCTAACACTTTAAACAGACTCATTCTACTTATGGCTAATACAAGTACAATAAAAGCCTCAGTTTACTTCTACAAGTTTCTGTGTGCTTACCTAACTTTAAAAAGGCAGACACACTACAGTTCAGAGTGAGTCTGGAAGGGCCATTTCAGCCAAGTTTTATCAGCACACGTAATGAGTTATTGACAAGTTCAGTAAATGACTGTAAAGCCAGCAGAAAAAGGCTTAAAAATGGACTGCTGAAAAAGAGCAGAGGCCAGTATCTTCCCTTAGTACTTTGAATGCAGGTAATAAAAGGTTGGGACTGAGGAGTCATAAATTCAGTTACTTTATGCAAGAAACTAGGACACAGGAAGGAGAGATTAAATAGGTCTTCCTTTCCAAGACAAGAATTCCTTCACTGAATCAGGAAAAAAGGAACTTAATAACTTTTACAAGCAAAACACCCAAACAGGACAGTCTAGGTGGCAGGTGCTGCAACTGAGGCATTACTGAGCTTACATTAATTCCATTATCCAGAAGTGCAGATAAGCCTACAAGAGATGCTCTTGTGGTGTTTCAGACTACTATTGTTTCCCCACAAATAACTACAGTTCTCGGGAGCTAAACACAAAAGCATGTGAACAGCCTGCAGAGTCCCAGTGCACGATTCACAATCCTCCTGTATTTAGTGATATACAGTGCTAGGTTGCCTAGTAGGCCTGTGTGAAATTTCAGCAGCCGTTTTGTTTTGGAGGTATTTGGGGCTGTTTCAGTGCCCGAAACACTGAATCTGAATTAAAACAGAAGACTCAGAAACATCTTCAAAATGAAACATGGCATCCAAAACGTTTTTGAAATTTTCCAAAACATTTCCGTTTCGGAGCTGGGCTTGCAGGGAAACAGCTGTACGCTGCTGCCCTGCTGTGCAACTTGACTCCGCAGGGAGTAGAGATCAGCACTGGGGGCTCCTCGCCAGCGGCAGCAAGGAATCCCTGGCACGGATCTCTGCTCCTTCTGGAGCCAAGTTGTACAGCAGGGCAGTGCTGGTCCCTGCCACGTGACCTGGCTCTGCAGAGAACAGAGATCCGCACCAGGATCTCCTCGCCGCCACTGCCCGCCCCACACAGTCCCACATTGCCGGGGCAGCGTGGGGTGGGCAGCGGCAGTGAGGGGACCCCCAGGCACAGATCTCTCCTCCTTGAGGAGCCAAGTCATGCAGCAGGGACCAGCAGACTGGCTCACCACTCTATGTTGCTTCCCTGCCCCGTGACCCAGTGTGACGGATCAGAGATCCACGTAAGGGTCTCCACACCTGCACAGAGGGCAGCAGCCCTCCCCCTCCCCAAGACAAGTGACCCGCAGCCCTGTCCTGCTCCACACTGGGAGCCTGGAGTCCCCAGCTCCAGGCCCTGCCTGGTTGGGTAGGGTTGTGCGAAGCTTCCCTTGCAGCCCATTTAAAACAGATTCAGGGGAGCTGAATATCCGAAACAGATTCGGCCGAAATGAAACAAGACAGTGATCCAAAACACTGAAACAAACCACTGTCCTCCGAAACGGCCGAATTCGAAACTGAATTGAAACATAGCAGTTTCGCACAGCCCTATAATGCCTAGATTCATCAGCACTCCATTCCAGGAGACATTCTAATGAAGGATTTAACCAAATGAATCATTAAAAAGTTCTATACAGTTTTCCTTGTGTGTTGTTATATTAACTCTGCATCTCTGTGGAGAAAAGTGTAATGTATTGAAAATGTGTAATTGCCCTGCAGAACTTGCTACATGCAACGGAAAGATTTACTGATTAGAGCTTCTAGCAAGTATAGGAAACTGTTTTGCAAGCACAGGAGATGCGTTAGCTAGATACTTCTGCAAAAACAAGCAGCATTGAAACGGATGGTAATACTGAAATTATCAGCACTGGGTTTCAGAGTTACAGCTACATACACCTGAACGTGTGGTAAGGGCAAAAGACACCCTTAATGCTACTGTTTCAGACTACTTGCTTACACCACTCCATCAATTTGTACTTAGCAATGTCCTCTGCAACTGCACGTTAAAAATTTCATTTAAATAATGGAATGTTGCAGAATTTAAGCAGACAGACAAGAGTCGAGCAAAATTTGCAGCCACAATACTGGAGGAAAAAAACACTTACAGTACCCCTCATCTTTAACAAAGAGTTGCAGGCTGTAGAAGATACCTTATCCAGCAGTGAGCTACCCAATCCAATTAACATTGGTTATCATAAACATGCAATAATTTTGTATAGCAAAATAAACCATTCTCTGTTGGGGTGCATAGTCTTCAAAGTCTAACTTCTGTACTAAAGACAAACAGCAGCAACTAGTTCCTTGTTTTGGTGTTAAGTACAGCTTGTATCCCTGGCAAGTTACTGAAGAGACCCTCAGTTTAGTTCTCCATGCACTCAGCCCAAGAACACCAACAGACTGGTAATATCTGTGGTTCTCTGAAAGGCACATTAAGAGCCAGAGAGCAAATTTTGTGCCAGACATTTCATTCTTGTGCCAAGAAGCAGAAACAGGACAGTGGAGGAAGAAATCAGCCTCCATAGACATGATTGCTAGAATGCTATAAAGATTCAGTCATATCGGACTTTGGACCTTGATATGTACCATAATCTATTAACTATTCTCAGTCACAGCTGTTTCTTTCACTTAAATTCACAGTGGCAAGTAGTATATTAAGTGGTGAGCTAACACTGAGGAAAGAATGTTTCTTCTCTGTAAAGACAGTTTAAACTAGATTAAGCATAGTATTTTATACAAGCCACAACTGAAAGAGAGAAGTACCTCTTCAAAAGGTAGTCAACTAGACCAGTGCTGTAACAGTTAAATAATTTCCAACAAGTGCCCCAGAACATTCTTACCAATGCTGAGTTTGTAACTAAATTTTTTTTTTTTTTTTTTTTTTTAAATAACAACACTTACCTTTAGTATGCAACACCCCTAAAAACAGCAGAAACTATTAAACTGCTTGTATGCTTGGCAGCAATATCTGTACAAATAGGAAAGTGATTTCATCTTTCATTCCAGTAATTTTAGGGGTTTCTTTTAACAAGTTATATAACATTCCTGACAAAAATTCTACTGGCAGCAGTCCTTCACAAAATATTTAGGCACAAGTTCATTTGCAGCATGCTTTGGAAGCAACAGTGCCTTGCTTTTGAATTATAAGATATTTGAAGCTGAAGAATAAACTGAAACCTTCCTAAATATTCTCATATTTAAATGACATCTGTAGCAAAGTACATGCAAAGTACCAATAAAAGGATATTCAACCATTGCTTGTATTCCATTTCTCTTGAATATAACAATACGTTGTACTTTTCCAACAGGGTTGCACACTGTATACAAGACATCCTATTAAAAAAAAAAAGAAAAAAAAAAAAAGAGAGAGTGTGTTGAAATGTAAATACAGTATCTTCAGATTAAATTTCATGGTGTCAAAATTTAAAATTCAAATAAGATTTTTTATTTTTTCCCCACTCAGAACATTCACTGGTGCTGAATGTTCATCCTGAGGTTAGGAATTACCCTTAAGTAACCGTATCAGAATTAACTATCAAACCTCTTCAAAGAAAATAGATAATTCCTATAGTAAGCAAATCCCTACAAGGGAGTTAAATTACCTAACCCATGAGTTTATGAATTGAAACCGAACAGACTTCACCTGAGAATGTGGCTCAGCTAGAACATAAAGGAGAAATCTTAATATATACATCAAAAACAAAGTCAACACAGGTGGTTCTCCTGTCCCTTCAATGAATACAGATATAGCAAAAAAGTGTTTTTGTAGTTCATGAAATTCAAAGTTGAAATCATAATTTATGAAAGGACTATTTTCAAAGTTGCAATCCAGGCAATCCCTCTAAAACAGGGGCGGGCAATTATTTTGGGCAGAGGGCTGCTTACTGAGTTTCAGCAAGCCATTGAGGGCTGCATGACAGGCAGCCCAGGGCAGACTAATATTAATTTTCTAAATTTTTTAGGGGCCCCACAGGCCGGATAGAATGGCCTGGCAGGCCGCATTTTGCCCACCCCTGCTCTAAAATGTACATGAGGAATGCTCAAGACACCATAATACATGGCTACATTGCATTAGGGATATACCTACAATGAAGTAGCTCTGAGACTGTAACACCCCTTATTTTGCTCACTTTAGGTATCAAAGCTCATACATATGGTCATACACATGGGTGAAACATCACCAAGGGACCTGGAAAAGGAAGAGGGGAAAAATCTCTTCTTTCATTTATCAAAACTATCTGTTCTTAGACATGTTGGTCCAGATCTAAAGCCTTTTTTTTTTTTAAATAGTTAAATCACTGGCAAGGTGAAAGAAAGTAACCTAGTATTTACCAACAGGCACAAAGCTGCTTAACTGAGATCAGGGATGGACAATTATTTCAGCTAGAGGGCTGCTTGACAAGTTTGGGTGAAGAGTCAAGGGCCACAAGGGTAGTCCCATCTCTTGACAGGTGCCCTGACCCCTGGATGCCATCCTGGGACCAGAAGTCCCACTCCCTATCCCCTGACTTTTACCACTGGATGTCTCTCCCCTTGCCCAGGAAGCACTACTTGGGGGGGAGGGGGGGGATTGTTTGTAAATTGGGAGGGGAGGGGAGGGGGTGCAGTGTGCATGTGGTTGGGGGAGTATTTGGTTGAGGGGTGTGGGGTGTGTATGGGATTTGTGGTGGGGGCATGCAGGGATGGGGGGGTCTGTGTGTGTGTGTGTGTGTGTGTGGTTGGGTTGCATGTGCACATGTGGGGGGCTTCTCCCTCCTCCCTCCCCTCCCCCTCGATTTCCCCCCTGCCTGTGCTTTGGGCAACCCCAGTCCAGTCCCTGGCAATGATCAGTTGATCAGGACCACTCTGGGGCGGAAGCCTCCTGGCAGTCCCAATCAGTTGATTGTCAGCTGGCAGGAACCATCCACGGGCTCAAATCCTGGTATGGTCTCTGCTCACTGATGCCAGATCAGGAGTCCCCTAGGGCTAGAACTCCAAGGCAGTCTCAATCCTGCCCAGGGTCAGGTAACTGGGATCATTCTGGGGCTCAAGCCCCAGGATGGTCCTGATCAGCTAATCATCAGCTGGGAGGGACCCCTTCAAGGCTTGAATACTAGTACAGTTCCTGCCAGCTGACAGCAGATCAGGAACCCCCCTTCCCCTCCCCCAGCTGGAACCTCAGGGCAGTCCCAATCCTGCCAAAAAATCAGCTAATCAGGACTGCTCCCAGGCTCTAGCCCTGGGACAATCACAATCAGCTAATCATTGGCAGACTGGGACTGCCCTGGGATCCAACCCCTGGGGCAATCCTTATCAACTGATCAACAGCCAGCTCTGGGGACCACAACGGGGCTTGAACTGGCCCCATGGGTCCCTAGAACCAGCCTACAGTCAGCTGATTGTCAGGCACCCAGCTGCGACTAGCTGGTGCAGGGGGAGCTCAGGATCATGATCCAGGGCTCAGATCCCATTGGTCTTCAAATAGGTATCTGTCAGATACCTAAGAGTCCTATAGACGACTATTCCTGCACAGATACTTTTCAAAATACACTTTCCCTTCCCCCAACTACAGAGAATTCTAGTGAAAAGTAACCATATGCTCTTTCTTTTACTTAGTCAGAATTAAACATCTAACTTCTGCTGAAGAATTGGATGCAGGTGTCGCCATGGATGTCGTCTTTCTGGACTTCAGCAAGGCCTTTGACACTGTCGACCACCCCATCCTCATTAAAAAACTAGGCGACTGTGGCATCGATGCCTACACAGTCAGATGGATTGCCAATTGGCTGAAGGGTCGTACTCAGAGGGTGGTGGTGGACGGGTCATGTTCGACCTGGGGGGAAGCGGGCAGCGGAGTCCCCCAGGGCTCGGTCCTTGGGCCCGCACTGTTCAATTTCTTTATCAGCGATTTGGACGACAGGGTGAAAAGCAACCTGTTCAAATTTGCTGATGATACCAAAATTTGGGGTGAGGTGGGCATGCTAGTAGGGAGGGAAAGACTGCAGAAAGACCTGGATAGGTTGCAAGGGTGGGCTAACAAGAACAGGATGCGTTTCAATACGGACAAGTGCAGGGTGCTGCACTTGGGCAGTAGTAACTGGCAGCACACTTATAAGACGGAAAACTCCCTTCTTGAGAGCACAGAGGCAGAAAAGGATCTTGGAGTCATCATTGACTCCAAGATGAACATGGGCTGACAATGCGAGGTCACGGTCAGCAGGGCTAACTGGACCTTATCGTGCATCCACAGGTGCATCTCAAGTAGGGCCAAGGAGGTGATCCTCCCCCTCTACGCAACACTGGTCAGGCCACAGCTGGAGTACTGTGTCCAGTTCTGGGCACCCCACTTCAAGAGGGATGTGGACAACATGGAGAGGGTCCAGAGGAGGGCCACCCACATGATCCAGGGACAGCAGGGCAGACCCTACAATGAGAGGCTACGGGACCTGAACCTGTTCAGCCTTCACAAGAGAAGGCTGAGGGGGGGACCTTGTGACCGTCTATAAATTCACTAGGGGGGGGACCAGAAGGGCTTGGGGGAGACCTTGTTTCCCCTAGCGCCCCCTGGGATAACAAGGAATAATGGCCACAAGTTGTTGGAGAGTAGGTTTAGATTAGACACCATAAGAACTACTTCAGTCAGGGCGGCTAGGATCTGGAACCAACTTCCAAGGGAAGTGGTGCTGGCTCCTAGCCTGGGGGTCTTTAGGAAGCAGCTTGATGCCTACCTGGCTGGGGTCACTTGAGCCCAGTTTTCCTCCTGCCCAGGCAGGAGGTCGGACTTGAAGATCTACAAGGTCCCTTCCGACCCTACTTCTATGATTCTATGATATGACAGCAAACTAAAGGTAAGGAAACATGTTACAACAAACCAGAGACAATTTTAGCTTCTTTCATAGAATGTCTTTTAACAGCGATTTCCTTAACTTCAGAAACGTTTTTTGTTTATATATTTATTTATTTTATAGAGTGGTAGAAGCAGTGTACAGGAAGCATTGAATTTTGTTACTTAAAACGGAGTTGTCTTGGTTAGTTATGACTTTTCAAATCAATGGCTATTGTTCATGTTTTCTGATTATAATTTAAATTTCCTTCAAATCATATGAAGTTTCACTTCACCAGAAGCAGCAGATTGTCTCAAGCAAAGCCTGCACTGGTGTACAAAGGAAATCCTTAAACTTTCTACATTCCTAAATAGATTAGGAATGTTTCTTTAATGCTTATTGGCTATATACCAAGTTTAAGTTTTTTCTTAATTCATTAAGAAAAGTTTGCATTTAGCCGTAATAGGGAGTCAGATCTTTGTCCAGTTATAGGTCTTTCAAAAGATTTTGGGAACATTAGTCATTTTAACCTCCTTTACTGATCAGCAGGGATCCGGGTTTTCTGTTTCCTACGGAAAAACCGAGAAAACCACAGATTTCTCATTTTTATCAGACAAACCCGCAGATTTCCCCCTTATGCAAAGAGCTCTTCAAGCTGGCTGAGCTCCAGCCTACAAGAGCTGTTTGCAAAAGGGACACCCTTAACCCTGCCCTGAGGAAAAAGGAGAGGGGGAAGGGCGGAGCCTGATGCTCACACTTACCAGAAGGTGATTCAGGCTCACTCTTCTTGCTGGAGTTAAGTGGGGCTTGGGGGTTGTGGGCAGGGCTGGCGGGAGGAAGCTGGCTAGGGGCTGAGGAGCAGAGAGGTTTGCATCTGGCCGGGCACTCTGGCTGGGAAGGGGTTTGTGGCCTCCCCACTCCCAGCTGGAGTGCCCAAGCTGGCTGGGGGCTGAGGAAGTGGGGAGATTTGCAGATCTGGGAGGCGTGGGTGTCCCCCGTCATGTCCACAGATTTTGGGATTTTTATGAAAATTTGCCATTTTTTATCAAGGAAAACCATGATCCCTGCTGATCAGCACATTCCAGTGAATGAGTGTTTACATATCACTGTAATGGGGTCCCTACCCCATTATTGGGAGACTGGGTGGTTTAGGGTTTGCTCTCACTGCTACCTCCCCCCCACCAACCCTTTTCCCTCATTTTCACCTCCATCTTTCTCCCTGCACATACACACACTCCTTCCCTTTATGGTACCCATGGGGTCTGAGCTGGTGGGTCTCTGGGTACTGCCAGTCTGCACACAGGCTGAGGATGTGAAAGAAGACAGCGACTAAATACATGTGCAGATAGAGCCTGATGATCTAGAAAGTGAAAGTAAAGGGTCAGGTGACCTAAAGCCTGCGACATAAGCCCAAGTCTTGGGCCAGAGAGGGGCAATCTGGCCGGTGGACCTGACAAGGGCAGAAGCACAGACTGTGGCAGGGAAAAGCAGCAGCCAGGACCAGAGGGGAAGAGGCTCCCAAGTGGAGCA